CCAGGCACTTTTTTTTTTTTTTTAATGCAGATGGATCAGAACATTGGTGTATTCTCCCTGTGGACCAACAGCTGTCAGGACACGCTGACAGAGGAAGTCAAGGAGTGGGATCTCCATTCCCCACAGTTTGGTTGTGATGTCTTCAGCTACTAGGAGTGTCACAGGCAGGTGGGTTTTCTTTGGTGTCGCAAAACCATAAAAAGCACTCCATTTTCCACTGGCTTAAACAATTCACATCTCAAATACATACCAGATGCTTCCAAACAAAAATAGTTCTTGGGTCAGATAATACTTAGGGCCTTAGAAATATGCTGTGCCTATGCCTAAGAATTATGCCTAAGGCAGACCCCCATCTTGGAATATAGCTAAGATTCACAGCAAAGCAGCTGATAATTGTGTTGCATTCTTTGAAACTCTGGCCGCATGAGGGCAGTATTGCTCCAGATATCGCCAGAACCGCCATCTTTGCCTCCTCTTCTCCCGCCCTTCTTTCTCTGAAAAAACAAAACCGCCAATCCTGGACGAAAAGTGCAAAGAAATTAGGCTGTCCTCCATTTTATCGAGAAAAGTGGAGCTCGTTACTAGAGCGGCCATTTTACTTTTGTTTCCCTTGTCAAGCCAAATTAAGGGCTAAAACCGTACTTTTGTCTTTTCCCTACGTAAATTTCCACCGGAGTTTGTCCACTAAGGTGTGTTTTATTTCCCTTAGTGGTGCTTGTCCAGTAAATTGGCCATTGCCTCTTTAGTGCTCTAAATGTAGTGGACAAAGGCAGAGAAAAAGAAGAAATTGCTTAAAACCATTGTGAAAAACCAAGTTCCCTTTTAGATAATACATTTTTTAGGTCTGCTGATTGAACCAAGATCCGTGAGCACACTAGGCAAGCCCACTTCCTATAGCTTACACCTTAAACCCATATACATATATGTCTATATATTATATTTACTTACACTGAAGATTGACATTTGCCCTGAAGATTGAACTTGAGACCTCAGGCAAGGTGGACAAGTAATATCATAGAACCACTTTTGAAGGACATATTGTTTTTTTTTTTTTTCTTTTTTTTGGAAGCAGGGCCTCCCAGTGTTGCTTGGGCTGGCCAGGAACTTACTATGTGGACCAGGATACTCTGAAACTTAAACTCCTTACCTCAGGAGTTGATGAAATGACAAATCTTTTCTACCATACATGCCCCACTCCCCTTCTCCCCTGTCTTTGTGATTCAGGCTGGTTTCTCAGGCTCCAGGCCTATCTGGGCTCTGTCTGGGATAGACAGACCCAGACCCAAATAGTCACTAGACAAGCAGAAGTACTTTCTAGTTTTGTATCAAAATATATTGGAAAGTTTGGCCTGAGCCATAGGAGAAGCTGCATGACAGCTGACATTCTGACATGTCAGTCACATGCTATACTGCATACCTACCAGTTTCTATCAGAATTACTGAGTTCTGTCTCATTTCCTCCCATGAAAAGTCGATGTTTTGTAATACTGTGAATGATGTTTCACTATTTACTGTGATTTTATGGGGGATGGGTGCATATGCAGAATCTGTCACTAAGTGTTTGGTAGAGTACCTAGTAGATTCTTTCATTAGTAAGCTTAAGAATGATACCTTCGTAGCACTCCCAATATGATATGCTGGTCATAAACATAAAGATGCAGTACCAAAACTTGTTTCAAAACAAGTGATAACCTTTTTGGAGACCTATAAAAGCAAAACCTGAAAATACATTAAAAATGACTTTAGAAATGTAGACTCTGGGGGGGGCTTTTGTTTTAAGTTAGGGTCTCTATTTCTGACTGGCCTGGAAATTTGCAGTGATCTTCCTGCCTGGGAGTGTTATTGGTGTGAACAAATAAAAAAGGCCTGTGAGATGTTTTGTTTGTCCTTAACCTTCCTAATGCTGCGACCCTTCAACACAGTTCCTCATGTTGTGGTGACCGCCCACACCCCCCAGCATAAAATTATTTCATTGCTACTCCATCACTGTAATTTTGCTACTGTTATGAATTGTAATGCAAATGTTTCATACACAGGGTATCTGATATTTGACCCCCTGAAAGGGCTCGCCTGTGACCCACAGGTTGAGAGCCACTGGTTTAGACCAAGCTGGGGTATGATTACCTGTATCCCAGAATTCCTGTGTTGAAAACAGTCACCAAGTTTGTGTTAATGGTGATTGGAGAAGAGGCATCTGGGTGGTGATTAAGTCAGGAGGACTCTGATTCCATGAATGGGAGGGGAGAATGTTCTCCTTTTGAGAGATGGTCTCTTATGAAGCCCTGGTTGCATTAGACTATGTGATACAGGCTGGCCTGGAAGATTCTGTGAGACTCCTTCCTGTATTTCCCCCTGGGAATTCAAGGATTTCTAGGTATATGCCACCATGCCCAGCTGACGGTAGATTTGTTAAAGATGTACTAAATAACACCACCAAGCAAACACTTGGCAGTTGTTAATTTCGTCCTAGACAGGATTTCCAGACTTCAGAGTTTTCTTCTTTCTCAGCCTTCATACACGAAGTTTAGCCCTTGAAGCTAAACTTTGAAGTAAAACAGGCCCGAATGGACAAGGTTCCATGGAAAATCATCAGTAACAAAATGCTAGCCATCCAAGTTCTTTGTCTCTAGGTCCTGGTTGTTATTAACTTTTTTTTAGTCTTTGAGGACAATAGAAAAGCAGTCTAGGAGGGCCCCTGTGGCCATGTGTGGAGCCCTACTGCCATCATGCGGGAATAGTTAAAACACACACAGCACCATTACAGCTTCGTTCCCATGAGTTGTAGCAATGGGGAAAGAATTTCTGATAGGATATTCCTTGGTTAGACCTTGGGGTCCAGTGCCTTTCCCTTAAGGCAAGAGGAGAAACTTGGATACCAGTACTATCCTGGTGTTAGTGAAGTGTGAGGGCCCACCAGAGGACCTGCAGGTGCTTAGATAAACAGAGGAAGTTGTGGGGTGCAGTTTGGTTCCTTCTCTTTGGGGAATGCAGGCTCTTGGTGGGGACACCTGTCTGCTAGTCCTTGTAGCATGAGTCGGCAGGATTTTAAGTAATGTCATCTCACAGTCTAGCCCAAGCTATCCTGAAACATTATGTAGCCTAAGCTCCCCTCAGTGTTCCATGTCTCAGTTGCTAAGGGAAAGTTTAAGACTGCAAGTATAAAAACAATACAGTATAAAAAGAATATTGTGAATACAGTTGAGCTATGTGAAATAGTGATAGGCCACTAATGTGGGAACATGCTTGTGCCCAGTGCACCAGCATGACATGATGAAACCTGAGAGAAGACCAGTGATCTCTAGTTGGAATTCATAGTGATTTCATAGCCCATGGCAGTGGTGGGAAAACAGCAAGGCCAGGCCAGTACCAAGTCATGAGGCAGGAACAGAGCTCAGGAGTATCTGGGTTTTAGAGGCTTGGAGGGCCTGAGGAAAAGAGTGATGGAGAAGTATGC